AGGGAAGAATAAAATCAGACGAAATCAGAGAGGGAGACAAACCATAAAAGACTCTTAACTCTAGGAAACAAACCAAGGATTGCTGGAGGGAAGGTGGAGGGGAATGGGGTGGCTGGGTGATGGACATTGAGGAGGACACTTGATGTAATGAGCGCTGGGTCTTATATGCAACTGATAAATCACTGAGCTCTACCTCTGAAACTAATAATACACTATATGTTAATTAAATTAAAAAAGAAAGAAAGAGGTGCCACTGGGAAGAAATTCCAACTATTTCCTGCTCCCAATCCAGACCCTGTTTTCACCCTTAATCCTTACCTTTTAAATTAAAGCAACAGGGAAATCTTGTTCAATCTTAAATGAACCTTCCTGCCCATGTCCTGGCTCCCATCCCCACCCACTGTCCACAGGTCTCGCTCCATCTGTTTCCCCATCTTCTCCTAAATCGTCCATCTCTCCTTATCTTCCACTTGTTTCCCATCGACATCCACACACACTCAGGTTGTTACCACCTTTAGAAGACTGCTTCATCCATGCACGGTCCCCCTCTTGTCCTCTTTGCCTTTACAGCCAGGTTACCGGATAGCAATCTCTATTTTATCACATCATATGCTTCTCAAACTATTCCAGGCATGGTTTCCACCCTTAAATATGATCGCATATTTTGACTGAGTCAATAATGAGCTCTTTATTGCTAAATCCAAAAGATATGTTCTGTTCTCATCTTTCTTGAACTCTCTGTAGTGTTTGTTTCTGCTCATTATTCAGCATTGCGATCCCCTCTTTTCCCTTGGCTTTTTGATACCTTTCCTTAATGGACTCTTCTGTTCTGGTCCTTGAGTTCCTCCTATTCTTTCTCAACCCATTTTCTTTTTATAGGTTAATTAAACCCCATGGCTCCAATTACCACTTCCATGCTAATGACTCAATACATCATTTATGCATCCCACAGCATCTCTCCTGAACTCCTGAAAAGCTCTATTTGGAAGCTTCACAAGGACTTCAAATTCTTAGCTAGAGTGGACTCTATCCTGTTCACCAAAGTCTACTCTTTCTCTGTTACCAATTTTAGTGACCATACCTGGCCATTATGCTGCTGAAAAAGCAAGAAACAGAGTCTTCTAACTGTACCTTGTTGATGTCCCTAGAATCAGATCCTGGTGCTTTATGTCCCACTTTCATTGTTTAGGCTCTTCTCATTTCTTGCCTAGATTACAGGTAGAGCATCATGGGGGACTTCCTACTTCTAGTCTGGTCCCTCCCTACCTAATTGTGTTTCCATATTCCACATTTTCTTTCTCGCTCCTCCTGGTCTTAAAGATGCTCATTTGGCTTTTACCGGGCAGAAATACAAAGGTGTAAAAAAACTAAAGGATACACAAAGTTTGAAGTGATGATCCATAGGTCTTACCTTGATTGCAAAACAAATGGAAACAAATGGTCATAGACAGATTGAAAGAACAGGGAATGGTCAGTGTAATGAAGATCTTAAAGTTAAAGAACCAGTGAAGGAGTGAATGACACAGTCAGAACAGGAATTAAATGAAATGCTTTCTTTTCACTTTTTAGATAGACTTAATTCCTTTCATTAAATCATCCCTGGATAGAGTTTTTAAAACATTCCAACACAAACCTGCAAAGGAAGTATATAATGAAGCCTGTGGAGAATGATCTTGGTAGTAACTGGATCAGTGCTTATGGTATGAGAACCAAGACCAGTGAGAGGAAACTGGATCCTTTCTTACTACTTTGTGTCAAGCACAGATTAAATAGAAAAAATCCACATTGTTTTCCAAAATATAGTTTTATATTCCTCATGTGAATATATTTATGGAGAGACAATCCTGAACTTCTGGAGAGCATTTGCCTTTCAAAAAATCTTAGCGGAAAGAAGGAAAGAAAGAAAGAAAGAAAGAAAGAAAGAAAGAAAGAAAGAAAGAAAGAAAGGAGGGAGGGAGGGAGGGAGGGAGGAAGGAAGGAAAGAAAGAAAAGAAAAGAAAGGAAGGGAGAGAAAAAGAAGGAAGAGAAAAAGAAAGGAAAAAAGGGTGATTGGAGTCTTCAATCTTTTTAACTACGAGTGAAGTGATAAAAACCCGTGATAATTGCTTTAAAAAAAAAAAAGTTGAAAATCCAAGCCTATCTGTGAAATCCTTCACAATCCGGGGATGGCCTACCTTTCTAGCTTCATCCCTCACCCAGTTCCTTTCCCACTAAAGTCCAGTAAGACTGGATTACATTTAATTCCCCAAGCAGCATATTGTTTTCTCATTCATCTCAGCTCCTTTGCTTTTGCTGCTATCCTAACCTTGCGCTCAGCATGCTGTGCCAGGAAAGGGTTAGGAACATAGTAAATGCTGATTAAAAGCTTTGGAAAGAAAAGAGAAGTATTTGAGTAAGAAAAAAAAATGAATGTAGAAGGGTGCCATTTGTAACAAGTGTGGTGGATTTTTGGTTTATCAGAGAACAGACTTAGCTTTAATTAAAATCAAATAGTGAGACAGCCAGGAGTTATTTCCATGGCCTTGGATTGGCAGGTGTTAATAAGTTACTGGGCAAGTCAGGAGCTGTGACTATATGAAGGCTAGGAGGGGTAGTTAGAGCAAGCAAGCAAGGTCACATGGTGCTGGGGGGTGGTCTGCAGCTCTCCCTTTACACCACCCACTCCCTGGTCACCTTCCTTGATTCTCAGCTGTGCTGAGAAGCCCAGGTTCCATCATGGAACAGCATCTACCAGTCTCACCATCTAAATGGAGCTTTTACTTCTTCTATTCTGACCTTGGTCTAAAATCGCCCATCTTCTCTGGGAACAGCAAATGTACAAGGTATGTCCTCTATTGTAAAATCCACTACAAATGTATAGTCCTAGGTAAAGAGAGATGTAGAATTGCTGGGTCATTGGTTTTAGAGATAAGCCCTTAACAGTTTTTAAGGATTATACCAATGTACATTGCCACCTGCAGCTTATGAGCTCACGTCTTCATCAACACCTGTTAATTTCTGCCTGAAAAATGACTGGGGTATTCCCATTCATGTTCATCTGCTAGTAATGAATTACCTCATTTTTGTTTGACTAAAAACATTTTTATTTCATCTTTTTCTTCTTTAAAAAGTTTTATCCACGTAACTTATGTACAGATTTTAAACTGCACAGGTTTGTAATGATTTATGATCCCCAATACAGCTCTCCATATATTTAGGATATTAATTTTTCTCATCATGTTTTGCAACTTTCAGCAAGCAAATCTTGCAATATTTTGCTAGATTTGTGGCTAAGTATGCCTTGTTTTAATGCTCTTGTAAATAGTTTTATGAATTTCATTTTTTGATTTGATAGGTGTTCACTGTATTTTTCAAGTTACTAAACTCATTTATTACTTTTCACATCTCTTACGTTCCTTAGTCTTCCCACATAGATGATCATATTGTCTATGAATCAAGAGAGTTTTACTTTATCTTTTCCAATCAGGATATCTTTTTATTTTTTCCTTGCCTAATTGCACTGGTTGAAACAGAAGAGGTTAAGAGTGAACACCCATGCCTCGCACCCAAATTTACAGACAAAGCATTTGGTTTTTCACCATCATTTATGATGTGATGTTACCCATAGCACTATTTTTGGATGTATTTACCTGTTTGAGTATGTTCTTTTCTATTCCTAGCTTGCTGAGAATTTTTTTCCTTTTTTTAAAAAATTAACATATAATGTATTATTTGTTTCAGGGGTACAGGTCTGTGAATCATCAGTCTTACACAATTCACAGCACTCACCATAGCACATACCCTCCCATTGTCCATAACCCAGCCACCCCATCCCTCCCCCTCTGCCCCACCCCCACCTTCCAGCAACTCTCAGTTTGTTTCCTGAGCATAAGATTCTCTTATGGTTTGTGTCTCTCTCTGGTTTCATCTTGTTTCATTTTTCCCTCTCTTCCCCTACGATCCTCTGCCTTGTTTCTCAAATTCTTCAAAGCAGAGAGATGATATGATAATTGGCTTTCTCTGATTGACTTATTTCAGTGCAAATGGCAAGATTTCATTTTGGTGAGAATTTTTATCTACAATAGGTGCTAAGTGAAGTTCTTCAGGCTTATGAAAAATTATATCAGTTAGAAATTTGGATCCATAAGAAGAAAGGATTCAGGAATTAGTAAATTTTTAAGTAACTATATGACATTTTCTTTCTTTTTTTTAAACTCATAATGATTTGAAACAATTGATTTTCAAAGAAAAATTATTATTATGATATGCATAAATATGTGGTAGGAAAGATATGACAACAAGAGCACAAAGGATTGGGGGATGAAATAGGAAGAAAACTATTACAAATCTCCTGTATTATAATATGAGCTGATACCACATCAATTTAGATAACATCACTTTATGGCAGACTGCAATAAATTAGTATACTAATTTATTCTGCTTAATTAATATTAACTAATACATAGTCTTAACTAGTAAATAATTTTTTTCTTCAGTTCATTTCTTTATGCCTTATACTTCTTTTTTTGCCTTTCCAACACAGAAAGCTGGTTGCTGCCCAGGCCTTAGTACTGTCTGCCTAGAACATCATTTCTTCCAATCTTGGAGGGTCTAGCTTCTTCCCATCAGTTAGGTCTCAGCTATAAGCCCTTCTCAGTGATGACTTTCTCCCATACTCAATCTCCACAGCTCTGTTTATGTTTATTTTATATCTAAGATTTTTTTTTAAACTTTATTGTCTCCTTTACACCATATTTGATCATTACCTCCCCACCACTATTCACTTCCCTTTGCACCCCTAACCCTTACCTAGCACAATGCTTATACTTTATAATTCCTGAAAGTCTTCATTTCAAGAAATTAGGCATATACATTTGGGGCAGAACTAAATTGCAGGCAGAGTGTCTAAAGACGTCACTAGCATCTAAAATCAAACTTTTCTGCTGTCTGAGTGTATTTTCTGATAGAGAAGTCGCTGTGATTCTTTATCTTGTCTCCCGGTAGCCATTATACATACTCACCTAGGAAGTCAAGATTTGTTGGTTTTTAATCTCTTCTCCATTCTTTTGATGGAATGTTAGCAGTTAGCCAAATGATCAAAATCTGTGCATCAAGAAATACAAATAGAAAAAAAACAGCCAAATGAATTTATGAAGCTTTAAGTAACTTAGAATTGGTAGTAACCCAAAAATAGAACCTGAGAAAGATAGTAATTTCTCATAGCATTCAGTGAAAGAATTTTCTCCTTTGTGAGTATAATTTGTACTTTCGTACAATGATGATCTTTCCCAGATTTCCTGTGGTGACCCCAATAGCAGTACTCACTCCTACTCTCAACTCATGTGTACTAATTTGTTTTTTCAGGTAACGTGGCCACCATACCTCTTGGCATTTTTCCATACTATTTCCTATATCTAAATTGCTTCCTGCTACTGTCCACCAAATAAATTGTCCCTCCTTTACACTTTCTTTTAGACTCTGACTACTTCATTTCAAGAAAACTTTCACCCAAATTTATGGAGCACTTAATCTGTGCCAGGCTTCAAACCTAGCTGTGTACATGCATCATTCCACTGAAAAGCTTCATGGGAATCTATGAGATTGGTTTGTTATTCTTTTTAATAAATTAAAAAAAAAAACTTGGGTAAGAGTTTTTTTTAAGTACTGTTCCTAAGGCTACACATCCGATGAATGACAGAACTGGAATTCAAAGTCAGATCTGTCTGAATTCAGAATCTGAAGTTGTAACCACTAAGTGGTGCTGTCTCATATGTATGTATGTATGCAGCCTTATGCATTCCCTACTCCAGGTCCCATTTGAACTACATTATATGTGTCTTTTATTCTAAATATTTCCATTGCATTAAGATTTAAGTTTTTCATTTTCAAGGTTTATTGTAGTTTCTCCTCCCTCATTTTATTTCTATATTGCTTAGCCCTTTATTAAAAAAAAAAAAAAAAAAAGCCGGGACGGGGGATGGAGAAACCTGGGGGGCTCAGTCGGTTAAGGATCTGCCTTCAGCTTGGGTCCTGGGATCGAGTCCCATATCAGGCTCTCTGCTCAGCAGGAAGTCTGGCTTCTCCCTCTCACTCTCCCCTTGTGCTCTCTCTCTCTCTCAAATAAATGAAAATCTCTAAAACAGAGAGAGACACTGTGTCTACACTTTTCTCTTTGCCCTGCTCTATTTTAAAATAAGTCTCAGAACTCCAGGAGGTTCAGTTGGAAAGTGGAGTTTCCACACCACTGTGGATATTCTTTGCAAACCCCAGAGTTCTCCAGAATGCTGGATTTTCTTAGATTTTATTCCAGATAAGACTTCCAGGCTAACTCAGTAAGAAACAGAGCCTTCAGACGAGGCTGTTTGGAATGTGGTGGCAGGCCCGGGTATATCCACAGATTTCTCTAGAATCTTAGGGAGCTTAATTCCTCTCCCATTTATCTCTTACTTGTTAGCAAAAGACAACTAGTTGATTCTTACTTAAGGATATGCGTGGCCTGGGGACAATCTATTCAAAACTTTCTAGATGTCATGCCAACTTGTGTGTAATCCAGCGCAAGCAGTGGTCTACCAAAGGTGAATCATTAAACCAGGAATAACCAGCAGAAGATCTGAATTCTTTTCTTGGCTACTCTTAAAAATAGCTCACTGTATTACAGGCAATTCTCTTCGGCACCCTTGATTCAGAACCTTATTTTGAAAAAGTAGATAAATTTTGGCAATTAAATGATTTCACATTATAATGCAATCTAAACTCTGGTAGAGATAAACATTCTGGTGTGTCAGTAATGGTGACTTTAAACTGTGTTTTCTTTAAAGGATATTTTCATATGGTTGACCCAGTAATCCACTAATTGTGACATTTGTCAGTCATGGAGAAGCTGCTGTGTATGTGGACTTAGACCACCCACTGCTCGAATCACAGGGCTGCCTTTATTTGTTTTGTTGCAGACAAATTTCTGTAGCCAGCCTGGACATTAGCCAAGGAGGCACTGTCTAGTGACTGTTATATGTAAAATTCTTGTCTTTTTTATGAGAAGGGGAGTTTTCTTTATCTTGTTCTTCCCATTGTAGTACTGACAGGGGTCAGAGGGGATGGACAGTTTGTGGGCTGAAATCTACAGAAGGCTGTCCTCCAACACAAGCGCCTTCCCTCTCTTTGCCAAGCAGACCTCCATGGGGATGTTGCTAGGCCATCCAAGGTTCAACTCTACTGACAAGGGACTGGAAACTGGACAAGAAATGGAAATGCACTGTGACTTCCTCGGTCCTCTTCTGCTCCTTGAGCCAAATAGCAAATCAAGCTTTGGTTTCAGGAAAGAAAATGAGACTGAAGCGAAGTGGAGGCATTAGTGTGTCTTCATGCCCATCCCCCACCCCTGCTCACTTTTCACCTCCTACCTTAGCTGCATGGAACATCTGTGTCCAGGTAACCTGACAGATCTTGAAAATAGCACCTTTGGATTCCATCTTTTGGGGCCCCTCTGAAATGTTCTCACAGAGTCATGTGATTGTTTTCAACAAAATGTTTCTCCTTCCTAATTCAGTTCTCCCTTCTGTTTGCTATTGGAACCAGGGACAGTGATAATTTTGTTGGAAACTGAATCAGTTGCAAAGCACTGGGAACGAGTATAGTTTAAAACCACAGGTTGGGTTTCTTGGGATTGTAGGCCAAGTCTCTTTCCCAGTTGCTCACAGGAAGTTTTGACTGATGTCATTGGAAATTGTATGTGTACATGTGTGTGTAATTTAGGTCACAGTGAGGCTGTAAGCTTCCAGGATAAAACTCTTGTGTCAGATTAGATCTGCTGACTGCATCACTCTTCATGCCCAGCTAATATTTGTGATGCTGATGAGCCAGGAAACCATTCGTCTTTTTCTCAGTTTGAGATCACCATTGAAAAGCTGCCTCCTTATGGAAGAAATCAGAGAGATTTTTGTTCAACTCAATGTTTTATAGGCCTAGACTTTTCCAAAATACTCCATCACACTTTCAGGATGAATATTTAGATCATCATGATGACAATTGATATAACTCAGAGAAATTATCTATTCATGACTTCTAATTTTTCATTTCAAATTTTTAAGGGAAATTGAACAGTATTGCCCTCATCTAAAAGGGCAAAATAACCTTTGGCATATAAGAAAAATAGCTCTTGATGTGTTAAAATAGAAGGAATAGTAGGAAAAACCCAAACCATGTGAAGAGCCCAATTGAACAAAGGTGCTTTGAGTAGACTGGTAGAAAGGCATCTTTTTGGTAATGTATGTATGTAGTTTGGCAAAAATCCATAGGCCACCTTGCAACCAAAGAGTGAGCCATCCTTTATTTCATTTCCTTTCATATAACCAGGCTCACAATTCATTTTCTTTATTACAACCAAACTGCAGTATTTAATGACATGAGCGTTTATGAAGCTCCATGTTTTCCCAACTTTTCCTAAATCTTTTTACAACCTGTCCTTTTCCTTGTCTTCTTTCAACACAAAGATGGTAAATTGTCCAAGTACTATCTTCAAGGATGTGATGAGAGACTCACTTTTCAAACAGTGCAAATTAATATGTTCTATCTCTGTCCTATGCTCTAGTTCTCTTTTCTTCCCCTTCTTCTTATTTGCCTGTCTTCCTTGGACAAAATTAACCTATTTTCTTTTCTTTGAAGTTCTCTTCTGAATCCCCTATAGTGTTTGGCCAGCTCCCAATGGCTTTCCTATTCCTATCTAGACAAGATACAGAATAATTCCAAAGCTGTGGCTCCACAGTCTTTTTCTATCCTTGAAGTGCAGTCGGAAGCACAGGGCAGACCCTTTACATAAGTGACAGTTCTCATTGGATTAAAAGATCTAATTGGACAGTACTGGAGCTTTCATTTTCCACAAATCTTCCTCCAGCGCAGTAGCCCATTTGTAGTTTCTGAAGTGTTGGTTACTAGTACCGCCACCAAAAGAAATAAAAATAAAAACAAAATTCACAAAGTCTGAGAAACTTCATAGCTCCGAAACAGCCAGAAAACCCAGCATTTTGACTTCTGCTTCTACTCTGTCATTACTTGGTTCTTGTTCTGCTTTAAAACTCTAGTTTGTATCCCGATTTTAGTGAAGACTGAGACTTTGTTTTTCTCTTTCATATATGGTAGTGTTTTTTGTAGAGTATAACCAACCCAGTCTTGACATTTTTGTTTATTTTTTCAACAATTTCATTTCTCTCTGTGATCCATAACCTCCCCAGATCCCGACATACACAAAATTTGAAGCTTGCTCACCAGTCCCTGCCTCAGTGGACTCTGTCCTCTAGGTTCCTCTCTCATTTTAGAAGATTCTGATGCTCTCCTGTGGTATCTCGGTATCTGTTCAGTCTAAGCAAGTAGAGATGAACCCAGAAGAAAAATGTAAAGAGTTTCCAGGGTCAGGTTCCTTCTCCAACAATAGTTTTCTTCCTGGCTTTTTCAACTTTATCTCAGAAGGCAGTGGTTCATCAATTCTGGACTCTGAAAAAGATACACTTCATGATTGCAGTGATTTTTCTCTGCCTTATTTATAGCACTTCGAATACCAGCTGACACACAGTAGGTTCTCAATCAATATTCTGTAAATGAATGGTTATAATCCTTAGGTATCCCTTTATGAACTGTATTTTTTTTTTAGTTAAAAAAAGTTTGTCATTATTAAGTCAAAAGACATTTTCATGTTGCAGTATTTGGCATATTACACATTTTAAATGTTCTCATTTTCATCACTAACTGAGATTACAGAAAAACAAACAAAAAAATAAACACTGGATTTGGCTCAGCCAGTTGAGGAACACGAATACTTCTGGAAGAACCATCATGATGGCTGCCCTAGGAGAATTCCAAGTTCTTTTTAAACAAGTGTTGGTTTATGACGGCAGTACTGGTTAAATTATATTTTCAATGTCATTTGACTGGTGAATTTGAGAAATATGTAATAATCACTTTAGTTGTTGAGGTCCATCACCCTGTATTCTGTACCAACAATAGATTTTTAAAAATTTATCTTTTTAGGTAAGCTCTATGTCTGATATGGGGCTTGAACTCACAACCCCAAAATGAAGAGTTGCATGTTCTACCAGCTGAGTCAGCCAGGAGCCCCAGCAGTAGACTTTTAAAATTCAATGCATTGGATATACACTGGGTGGCCTGAGAAATGGCCCTTGTATCCAAACCCAGTGTGTCATTATAATATTTAATGTAACAACAAGAGTTACAAGTGTTCACCTAAGTGGCACAGAGATCTTTAGGGCTTTGTGAAAAGTTCCCCATCATAGTGCAGAGCAACATAGTGGATATTAAGACTGAAAAAATGAGGAAAATTTGTTGTCTCCCAGCTTGCTAGGAAACTAACTGGCTCTCCTGACTTCGGATTTCTTCCCATGCCTGCTCTTGCCCCACCAGACATTGTCATGGACTCGGTTTCAGAAGTCCAAGGCCACCAGGGCTTAGAGGTTGTTCAGAGGACTCTTCTCCCAATGGAATGATATGCTGCAAGAGAATAAAGCTAAACTTGGAAGTCTAGTTTTATAAGCGATGATCTTGGACAACAAGGATGCAGTGTGTTTGCTACTTTGCTATATAGGGAACTAGACATGTGCTTCATCTTTGGGATGTTAAGAGACATGAATGAGATTCAGAATGACTGTAGCAGTTAAAAAAAAAGTCCCTTTACAGAATTAGACCTATAAATACAGAGAAAAAACTGGTGGTTGCCAGAGGGGAGGGAGTGGGAGGATGGGCAAAATGGGTGAGGCAGAGTGGTAGATACAGGCTTCCAGCCACAGAATGAATAAATTACGGGAATAAAAGTTACAGCACAGATAATATAGTCAATGATATATAGTCAATGATATTGTAACAGTGCTGTATGGTGACAGATGGTATCCAATGTGGTGAGCACAGGGTAATGTATAAGAAGTTGAATCACTAGGTCGTACACCTGAAACCAATGTAACAATGTGTGTCAACTATACTCAAAAGTAAATTTTTTAAAGTATCTCCATATTTCAGACCTACATATTTGACTGTTTGGACCCCAGTTGTTTCTTCCCTGAGTTTCACATATGAGACTGCTACTGTCACATCACATAAAGAGACACAAAGTATCAATAAGTTAGGACTTCTCTTCTGGAATTGGAACAAATATGGGTGAATAGAATATCACTGAGAGAAACCCTAAATATCCAATACATTAATAGGTTAGTAAATCATAATACAACAACTTTTTAATATTTCACAATACTCAAAAAAGGGATTATTAAAAATTTTAAATGGCATGAAAAAGGGCGTCTAGTTAACTGTCAAGTAGAACACAAATTAAATGCAAATACCGTCACAATTACAGTTCAAAAATAAAAAACAAGTAAGCTCAATAGGAAATACATTTCAAAAGTTAACATGATAAGATTATGGGTAGCTATTTTTCTTTTTCTTTATGTTTTGTAATTTTGATAACAAATATATGTGACTATAAGGGAGGAAAAACAAACTTTTATTTCAACTGGCAAAAAATAAACTATTAAACATGTAAAAATGCCTTGAAAAATGAAAAAAAAAAAGCCAAATAGTGTATCATCATCAGATTACCAAGCAAATGTAAAAGGCTGATTATCATTTAACTGCATTATTAAAAGCAATTAACAACTAGATGACAAATGCACTGCTCTTTAGTGATTCTATAGCAAAATGAATTTTAAATACATCTTTCAGTAATCATATCAACACAGTTGTGAAAAATTGTTCAAATCCTTTTTTGTTGGTTTGTTTCTCTCATATGAGCCAGTTATTTGTGTCCTTTTTTGGCCATAACTGTATAAAATAATTAGTAATTTCAGTGGGTCTACCTGCTACTCTAACCGCACACCTCCCTACAAATATTTCCCTGGTCTGAATTAAGGCAACTATTCTATTAGAAAAATGGTTCCAATAACTTGGCTAATTGGCCCTGGCTTGATTATTGCGATTATAAACTATTAACTGAAATCAATGCTATTGGCCACATGCTAGCTTAGTTACAGAGTGCCTAAAGTTTTTGCCCTCTGTTTGCATCTATTTTTTCAAGAGAAAAGAATAAATTATTATAGACTATATTTTAAGACTACCCAAATATATTATTTTCCATAAAGCTCCTTTGTTAAACAATTTTTTTAACTCTCACTCCTTGATTATTGTTCTTTATTGTTCCTTCCATTCATTCATTTCTCACAGGCATTTTCTAAAGTAAACATTGTTTTAGAACAAATTTATGTTTACAGAAAAAAAATGCAAAGATAACACAGAGTTCCCATATATACTACAGCCAGTTTTCTCTATTACTGACATTTTATTTTTGTATGGTATATCACTTAATGAATACGTAATACTGATACATTATTATTAGCTAAAGTCTATAATTCATTTACATTTTCTTAGTTTTTACCTTGAGGAAAAGAGACACTACTAATACAAGTGGCTAACATTTATATGGCTCTTATGAGGTAGATAATCTTACCAATGTTTCATATATATATATATATATATATATATATATATATATATATATATAATCTTACTGTACTTAATCTTACTGTAGACTTAAACCTATGGGGTCAAGAAGCTAGAGGAACTCTGAATGGGATAAACCAAAAAAATCCATACAAGGACATTTCATAACTAAACTTCTGAAAACTAAAGGCAGAGAAAATTATCTGAAAAGCAACCAGAGAAAACTGACATCTTACCTATTGGGAAAAACAACTTGAATGGCAGCAGATTTCACTTCAAGTAGTATTCATTTATCTCCATTTCATAGGTGAATAAACTGAGGCGCTGAAACATTCAGTAACTTTCTCGTGGTCACCTAGCTATAATGGAGAAGCTGGGTTGTTTGATTCCAGGGTCTTACCTCATGCTTAATGAAGTCATGATTAGGCAACCACTACTTTACCATCATCCACTTTCAAGCCCAATTCACCAGAACACCAAGTTGTGTAAGGCTGTAGAATGAACACCCCATTTAGTAATAATATGTGATTCTATCTGTAATGTTTTTCATTCATATATGTGCTTCTTGGGACTCACCCTGAGGTTTCAGAGAAACTGAGAACTGGTAGAGGATTCAAGTGTCCTAGAACCTACAGAGACTCAACTTAGAAATAGTAACTAAATACATAACTATTTATAAACTTAAGAATGAACATAACAAGAACCATGTGGCACCTATAAAATGAAAAAAAAAATACCTACAGCTAAAAGAAATAAAAGAAAATTTAAAACTTCCACTTTAGGGAATATGAAGTAGATGTGCTTTTTCCTGTTCTTCCCTCTAATTACAACGAAAAATCCTGGACACTATATGCAAAAGAAACATCGGAAGACTCTGAAAAATAGAAAGAAGGCAGATAGGCTAAGGAATAGTAAGATCTGAGGAATGAGATGAGTTGTATTAGTGGGAGTATTTTGTTGGTGGTTTTTGTTTGTTTGATCTCATATCTCACTTTTTAGAGCTAAAGAAACTGGCAACCTGTGAATGCAAATGGCACAGGCAAAAAAAAAAAAAAAAAAAAAAAAAAAAATCCACCCACAACAAGCCTGCCATCTGAAGCCAAAGAAACAGGATAGGGGCAGCCTAGAAAGAGAATACTTTTAGATAATTTACTCCAGCAAAACACACAAAAGCATGGGCCCCACCCATGTCAGTAAAGAGTAAGTACAAAGTCCAGTCTTCCACTCCAAGAGGTTGTAACGAGGTACCCCAACACCCCTATAGAAGTAGTGTCAAAGAAGGAAGTTGCTTTCATTCCCAGAGAAGTAAAGAAGCCTTCAGTGTTAGGGGACATCACCTGGAAAGTCTGGGATACCTCCCCAGAATTAATGAAGCATTCCTTCCCCTCCTGATGATGGTGTTAGAAGAAGCTTAGTGAAGAGTCAGGACATTTACTATCACCCTTTAGCAATAAGGCCACATCTACCAGACTGCCAATAGGACAAGGGGAAGAACTGGACTTGAAGCATGCCCACCAATAACAAGATTCCCCCTACCTTCCACGAAAACAAGGCTGAGTACGGAACCTGTGCTTATATTTTCACCTGAGAATAAGAAGGTGGTGTCTCACTTTCCACTGCCAAAGACAGTACTCAAAGCCAGCTAAAAGAGAGGCTTAAATAAAACCAATCTCATGATACACAATGTCCTGAATTAAATATAAAATAGTCATACTATGAGGGAGGAGTCAAGATGGCGGAGAAGTAGCAGCTGAGACTACTTCAGGTTGCGGGAGATCAGCTAGATAGCTTATCTAAAGATTGCAAACACCTACAAATCCAACAGGAGACCGAAGAGAAGAACAGCAATTCTAGAAAAAGAAAATCAACCACTTTCTGAAAGGTAGGACTGGCGGAGAAGTGAATCCAAAGGGACGGGAAGATAGACCGCGGGGGGAGGAGCCGGCTCCCGGCAAGCGGCGGAGCAACGGAGCACAAAATCAGGACTTTTAAAAGTCTGTTCCGCTGAGGGACATCGCTCCAGAGGCTTAACCGGGGTGAAGCCCACGCGGGGCCAGTGTGGCCTCAGGTCCCACAGGGTCACAGAAGGATCGGGGTGTCTGAGTGTCGCAGAGCTTGCAGGTATTAGAACAGGGAAGCCGGCTACAGAGATGGAGCCGAGGAGTGAGCTCACAGCTCGGGCTTACCTTGAACCGGTAGCAGGCTCGGTTGGCTCGGAGCGCGGCCGGAGGCCAGGCAGACGGGAGTAATTGGGCGCTGTTCTCTGAGGGCGCACTGAGGAGTGGGGCCCCGAGCTCCTCCGGGCTGGAGACTGGGAGGCCGCCATCTTCATTCCCGTCCTCCGGAACTCTACGGAAAGCGCTCAGGGAACAAAAGCTCCCGAAAGCAAACCCGAGCGGATTACTCAGCCCGGCCCCTGGTAAGGGCGGTGCAACTCCGCCTGGGGCAAAGACACTTGAGAATCACTACAACAGGCCCCTCCCCCAGAAGATCAACAAGAAATCCAGCCAGGACCAAGTTCACTTACGAGGAGTACAGTTTCAATACCAAGGAGAGCCGCGGAATTCCAGAGGAGGAGAAAGCAAAGCACGGAGCTCATGGCTTTCTCCCCATGATTCTTTAGTCTTGCAGTTAATTTAATTTTTTTTTCTTTTTCAATTTTTTTTCTCTTCTTCTGCTAAATTTTTTTTAACTTTTACCCTTTTCTTTTTTAAAGTTTTTTAACTAGTTTATCTAATATATATATATTTTTTCCTTTTTATATTTTATTCATTATTGGTTTTCTTTTTTTATTTGTTTCTTTTTTCTTTCTTTTTTTTTTTTTCTGAACCTCTTTTTATCCCCTTCCCCCACCCCCTCAAGATTTGGGATCTCTTTTGATTTGGCTAAAGCATATTTTCCTGGGGTTGTTGCCACCCTTTTAGTATTTTATTTACTCCTTCATATACTCTTATCTGGACAAAATGACAAGGCGGAAAAATTCACCACAAAAAAAAGAACAAGAGGCAGTACCAAAGGCTAGGGACCTAATCAATACAGACATTGGTAATATGTCAGATCTAGAGTTCAGAATGACGATTCTCAAGGTTCTAGCTGGGCTCGAAAAAGGCATGGAAGATATTAGAGAAACCCTCTCGGGAGATATAAAAGCCCTTTCTGGAGAAATAAAAGAACTAAACTCTAATCAAGTTGAAATAAAAAAAGCTATTAATGAGGTACAATCAAAAATGGAGGCTCTCACTGCTAGGATAAATGAGGCAGAAGAAAGAATTAGCGATATAGAAGACCAAATGACAGAGAATAAAGAAGCTGAGCAAAAGAGGGACAAACAGCTACTGGACCACGAGGGCAGAATTCGAGACATAAGTGACACCATAAGACGAAACAACATTAGAATAATTGGGATTCCAGAAGAAGAAGAAAGAGAGAGGGGAGCAGAAGGTATATTGGAGAGAATTATTGGAGAGAATTTCCCCAATATGGCAAAGGGAACAAGCATCAAAATCCAGGAGGTTCAGAGAACCCCACTCAAAATCAATAAGAATAGGTCCACACCCCGTCACCTAATAGTAAAATTTACAAGTCTTAGTGACAAAGAGAAAATCCTGAAAGCAGCCCAGGAGAAGAAGTCTGTAACATACAATGGTAAAAATATTAGATTGGCAGCAGACTTATCCACAGAGACCTGGCAGGCCAGAAAGAGCTGGCATGATATATTCAGAGTACTAAACGAGAAAAACATGCAGCCAAGAATACTATATCCAGCTAGGCTATCATTGAAAATAGAAGGAGAGATTAAAAGCTTCCAGGACAAACAAAAACTGAAAGAATTTGCAAACACCAAACCAGCTCTACAGGAAATATTGAAAGGGGTCCTCTAAGCAAAGAGAGACCCTAAAAGTAGTAGATCAGAAAGGAACAGAAACAATATACAATAACAGTCACCTTACAGGCAATACAATGGCACTAAATTAATATCTCTCAATAGTTACCCTGAATGTTAATGGGCTAAATGCCCCAATCAAAAGACACAGGGTATCAGAATGGATAAAAAAAAAAAAAAAACCCATCTATATGTTGCCTACAAGAAACTCATTTTAAACCCGTAGACACCTCCAGATTTAAAGTGAGGGGGTGGAAAAGAATTTACCATGCTAATGGACATCAGAAGAAAGCAGGAGTGGCAATCCTTTTATCAGATCAATTAGATTTTAAGCCAAAGACTATAATAAGAGATGAAGAAGGACACTATATCATACTTAAAGGATCTGTCCAACAAGAAGATCTAACAGTTTTAAATATCTATGCCCCTAACATGGGAGCAGCCAACTATATAAACCAATTAATAACAAAATCAAAGAAACACATCGACAATCATACAATAATCGTAGGGGACTTTAACACTCCCCTCACTGAAATGGACAGATCATCCAAGCAAAAGATCAACAAGGAAATAAAGGCCTTAAATGACACACTGGACCAGATGGACATCACAGATATATTCAGAACATTTCATCCCAAAGCAACAGAATACACATTCTTCTCTAGTGCACATGGAACATTCTCCAGAATAGATCACATCCTTGGTTCTAAATCAGGTCTCAACCGGTATCAAAAGATTGGGATCATTCCCTGCATATTTTCAGACCACAATGCCCTGAAGCTAGAACTCAATCACAAGAGGAAATTTGGAAAGAACCCAAATACATGGAGACTAAACAGCATCCTTCTAAAGAATGAATGGGTCAACCAGGAAATTAAAGAAGAATTGAAAAAATTCATGGAAACAAATGATAATGAAAATACAACAGTTCAAAATCTGTGGGACACAACAAAGGCAGTCCTGAGAGGAAAATATATAGCAGTACAAGCCTTTCTCAAGAAACAAGAAAGGTCTCAGGTACACAACCTAACACTACACCTAAAGGAGCTGGAGAAAGAACAAGAAAGAAACCCTAAACCCAGCAGGAGAAGAGAAATCATAAAGATCACAGCAGAAATCAATGAAATAGAAACCAAAAAAACAATAGAACAAATCAACGAAACTAGGAGCTGGTTCTTTGAAAGAATTAATAAGATTGATAAACCCCTGACCAGACTTATCAAAAAGAAAAGAGAAAGGACCCAAATAAATAAAATCATGAATGAAAGAGGAGAGATCACAACTAACACCAAAGAAATACAGACAATTATAAGAACATATTATGAGCAACTCTATGCCAACAAATTTGACAATCTGGAAGAAATGGATGCATTCCAAGAGACATATAAACTACCACAACTGAACCAGGAAGAAATAGAAAGCCTGAACAGACCCATAACCAGTAAGGAGATTGAAAGAGTCATCAAAA